CATTATGAAGTTCCATATTCGCCCATTAGTTATGGAACACTTTTCTCGAACACATTAGTTAAGGACATACGTTAGTTCATCCAGATAGTGTAAAATCTCCTGGAAATCACTGAACTCTCCGCTTGCTCCAATGAGGCTATGCTTGCCAACTGCCTTAATGCGTTCCACACTCTTGTATCTCAAAGTTGACCCATACGAGGCTGCAAAAAGAAGTTAATACTAAAGTTCCCATTGTGATAATGGTATCTGTCTGTGCAGATGAACCGGGACTAACCTCCAGTGTCACATGCCATGATGACACCATCCTTGTATTTCAAGGCAATGACTGAAGTGCCAATCACATACGGATACCTACTGATGTGAAACAATGACCGGAGTATGTGAATGGATAGGCTTATCAAAAGCAATGCACAACAATAGAATCAAAGAAGAGTTGAATAGAAATGCCACACGGCAAGGATACTTGGACAGTAGTAGAGGTGTTCTGAAAATAACAAGCACACAATTCATGCCAGTCATATTGCCCTCACAGAAAACGTTAGAAACAAAGGCAATAACCAGGATACTGTTCACAGCTAATACTTGTAACAGTAACATATATAGTATTGCCAATAAGCTAAAAAATTGTAAATGTGTATATACTAGGTCAATGTGCAGTATAGAATGACAATCACTTAAAAAACCTAGCCCATTGTTGCAATGGCAAGATCACACAGCAAATTAACTTATTAAGCGTAAACAGAAAAGGCAAGGGGCTGGCAATAGATAGAATAGAACATTCATAACCAGAACTCCAGCAGTGAAGAAACAACATATTGTGGGAAAGTACAAAAGCTCAAGATCTTACATGGTCAAGGTGCGCTGGCAGTTGACATCCTGCAAAAATAAAGATAGTAAACATATCATACTGTCAGTATGATCGACAGCATAATTGAAGACACAAATCATCACCAGTGCTAGCGCAACAAGAGCACCTGAGTCCAGAAAAATTATTGTAGGCTGAGGGGCTCCCCTGAAATACAGGTAAAACTAAAATTTTCTAACAATGTTTCTTGGGCAAATAAAATTAATCAAGGGCAACCAATGCTAACGAAAGTAGACATCCTTTGCTCTCCCACAGATGTATCTAGTGGCATGAAAATGTTTTCAATCAAGATTCTAATCTGTCATGAAGCAGAAACAGAGCTCCCTCAGAATCTACGTGCGCGTTCTCCACAACGTGCTACAGTGATGTTCTCGACGAGAAGGAAAAGGCGCGCTCCAGAATAAACACAGGAGGAGGGATGCAGGGGTGGGGGAGCACCATGGAGCTGGAGGGCTGGACGAGGAGTTCTTGTGATTGAGCTTCACCACCTCCGGCGGCGGATTCAGCACGTCGATGTCGTTCTGCGCCTCTGCGGCACCTGCAACACCACCACTTGCAAAACCACACCGATCAGAACCCAAAATCTGACCAAGAAAAAAAGAAGAGCAAGGGACCGGAAGTATTCTGTCGGAATGGGTCGCTGTGCGTACAATGGTGGCAGGCTAGTGTTCGCTCCGCCGGCTCCACTTTGAAGGAGACGATCTCCGGCGAAGGAAGCGGCGGCAGGGCGTCCGAACTCGGGAGGCAGGGAGGCAGAGCAGAGGGTTGCGGTGGTGCTTGTAGCGGAGGGTGAAGCGATCTGCAATATGGACTCGGATCTAGAGAAGGTAGGAAGAGGAGGAGAAATTCGGAATTGGAAAAGCAAAACTTGCAGTCTTGCAGAGGAAGAACAAGCAGGGCCTTAGATTGCAATTTTTTTTAACCTGGACATTGTAGTACATTTCGTTTGTATTTGATAAATTTTATCCGATCATGGATTAATTAGACTTAAAAAATTATCTCGTGATTTACAACTAAACTATGTAATTAGTTACCTATATTTAATGCTCCATATATATATTCAAAAATTGATGTAACGAAGAAAAAGTGAAAAAACTTTGGAATTTAGATGCAATCTAAACGAGCCCAGAAACGGCGGAGGAATCGGAACGAGTTCAGAATTCAGAGTCTGTACTTTTTTTTAATTCACACAAAGTCTGTACCCGACATACGGAGTACGTGGGCTGGGCTTGGCCTGACGCCTGAGCTTGATGGGTTCCCCGCACGACTGCACAAGACGCGGCATGCCCGGCCCTTGGGATGGTCTTGTGCCGTCCAAATAGGGCCAAATGGCACCAGGCCGCCAACCAGTGCTTGAAGAGCATCTAGTCCGCGCGGCCGACGGCGTATCCGCTACCGCCATGGTCCTTGACGAGTGAGCGACTCCACGATCGACCTACTGAGCTGAGACAACAAGCACATATTCGAGCTGTCGTGCGCTTAGCAGCCTGGGAACGGGAACATGGCCACGTTCCTGACGTCTACGTTCCGAAAACGCGAATGTTTCCGTTCCATGTTATAAAATGATATCTAAGTTTCCGTTCTCGTTCCGGGAACAGGAACGGAAACGGGAACATGACTGCTAAGGTCGTGCGGGAACGATATCGTGGACGGCCAGACCCAGGTTGCGTGGTCCAAAGCGCGAGTGTATTGACGGTCGCCGCTTTGCTAGCTTTTGACTGATCGACAGCATCCATGCGTCAAGGGTGAATGAAGCCTTGCTTGCATCTCATGTGCATGCATGCTTTGCACGGTCAGTCATGCCGTTGGAGAACACGGCACCGTCCATCCGGAATCGTTGCATCTTTAACAAGAGAACTGTTATATAAATGAAAAATAATCAATACCGACTTAGTGGTGCACCTTAGCTGGCCTTGCGTCTTCGCGGCTGTCTGGGCGAACCCGTTCGGCCGTCCGCGAAGAGCGCGTCCAATGCTTCGGCGTTGGACGCAGTCAGGTTCCCGTCGAAGATCCTGTCAAAGGCCTCCAGTTCCGACGTGGATGGCGCTGATGAACCCTTGGTGTAGCCCATACGCTGCATGATTAGGATCTCACATCGTTTAGAAGCGGGTACTCGAGAGAGGCTTTGGGCCGCCAACCGCCTGCTTTGCCAAGGCAACACCGCCTTCGCAGGCGGCTGCTTGGGCGACTCACGAATCAGCGGGGAATCCCCTTGCGCACCACTTTCTTGGTGAAGTTGTGAAGTGCGTGCATAAGTTTTCAACGCATTTCTCTTCTTTTCTTCCACCTCAACATAAATTTGATACGACATCTTTTACAACCCATTTACATCATCTTGTTTATTGCTCTAAAGTATAGACGACGATGATTCTTCAGGGGAAGCAAATCGTTTGCAATAGAGACTTACGACGTGCTTGGTTCTGCAGGGCAAGGCTGCACTCGCCTCGCCTGCCTCACACGGCACCGAGGTGCTCATCAGGGCAAGAGAGTCAATTAGCTCACCTAAGCCAACAAGAAAAAAAAATTATCCACACAAAAACTGAAGTGAGCTAGGTACACATCCAGACACCTTGCTCACTCTGATTCCTAGCTTGGCGAGGTGATACATTGCTCGGCAAAGAATCAAGCATACTCTTATCCTTCTTCGTTCACAAGGGTCATGGACTCATGGGGCTGCTCTGCTCTGCTCCACTCCACCTCCCCCAGGCAAATCCTGGCGAGCTGCAGCCTGCAGCAGAGCCGTGAGTCGGTGGGTTGTCGAGGCCTTGAGGAGGGAATTGCGGCGTATACTGTGCTACACACGGTTCGCGCGCGCAGCGTTTCCGTTCATGGGATGCGAACGTGAACGTGCGATGCGACATGTCGCCGGCCGGGACGTGGCGCTGAGCCGGCGCCCAATTCACCGTCGCGTGCGCGCACGGGGACCCGGGCCGCACCGCACGTACGCCGCGCCCCGTCGGCGATTCGGCGATTTCTACTGACGGATCCCGTGGGGCGGGTGGGTGGAAGGAGCTGGTCTTCCTTCCGAGTTTCGGATAGCCACCCTTTCCTCTGGCGGAACGGGCACGGCAAGCGTCGCGAATCACGAAAGACAAGTTAGTGGTCGCATTTTCTCTGTCCCAGCCCAGTCATGCAGCTGAAACGGGCGAGAGCGAGCGAACGGCGGGCAGCGAGGCGGGGCCGGTCACGAGCGAAAGGTGGCGAGAGCGGCGGCACCAGGCGTTCCAGGGTAAGGCACGGCCAGACGGGAAAACGGGCAGGAGCGGCCGAGCGGGGGATCGCTTTTCGGTGGCGGGCCCTGTTTTCGGCGCAGCCGTCGCCGACGCCTTTCGGTTCAAAGGACCAAGTTGAGGCGGCGGCTAGGCGAGCACGTCATCAGGTGAAAACAAAAAGGATGACTGGCACGATTTGGGATTTTGTATGGGACACCATGCGGCATGCGCCGGTGTTCACGTTACCTCTAGTAGTACTAGAAAATTTGCACACCCATCACATCCCTGGAGGCCTGGACAACAAAACGTCATTTGCACTTCCGGTAGTGATGACTCCGTTCCAACAAGGTCACAATTGCTGAACTTCGAGACCATCTTTTTTCCGAGCAGCCTAGAGAATGTGTACTAGACTATTCGATGGTGAAGCTTTGGTATTTGCCTGTTTGGTTCGCACTGTTCATCACACTTTTCCCTTGGAAACGAAAGATCGGATGGGAGATTGGTATGTCGACCCCTACTTTCTTGCTGGAGGAAGGAGGATATTCACATCATATGCTCGCCCAACCTCACCTACGAATACTTCTGTTGTAAAAATAAAAACAAGTGCTGGTCTCTAGCCAATCCTCAGGGGAGTGTTCGGCTGAGCAAAGCCGGCTTGTTTTTTCAACTGGAGCAGTGTTTTCTCTCATAAATTTTCAGCATGAACAGTAAAAAATCATTCCAGCCGAACACTCCCTAGCTAGATGCATTATTTGGACAGTTAGACCAAACAGGACATGGCTTACCCCAGGTTTTCAAGTTTAAAATCCGGCTGGTCATCACCTCAATTCAGTATGCTTTCGCATCCGCGGATCAGAAGGGTACACGAATCATCCCCATCGAATGGGCATGAAAAAAAGAAAGAAAGAATGAAACGAACGAGATCAATGGCAATGGCAGTAAGAATGGCAATGGCCGCTCTCCTGCGCCCCCGCGCTCGCGCAGGGGGTCCGGGCCTGGGCCTGAAGCGGCGCCGGCGGCACGCCGCAGGCTCTCCGGAGCTCCTCGTACCTGCTGAGGTCGAAGCCCCTGGCCCGCATCACGCGCTTCTGCTTGGCCGCGAACCGGCTCTCGAAGAAGCCCTCGAACGACGGCTCCTTCTTGGTGCGGAGGAAGAAGGCGTAGCCGGCCATGAAGTACATGGACGTCACGTAGAAGCAGATGGGCTCCATCACGTCCCACGACAGCTCCCAGAAGGTGAGCCGCATGAACCCGGCCGTCTGGACCACCAGGTACGCCAGCCCGCACCACAGCTCCCGCCGCACCTGCGCCGCCGCCGCGCGGTCGATGTCCGCCTTCTGCGCCTCCATGGCCTTCAGCTCCTCCTCCCTTGCGGGGTCGCTGCTCTCCGCAGCGACGGGCAGCGCTTGCCGCACGGGAATGGCATTCTCGATTGCCTTGACGACCTGCGGTTGTCATCAGAGACAAGACAAAACGTTCCCACGATTTACTTGGCTGCTCTTCTTTTTCAAGGGAGATCCATCAAAAGAAAGAGCAATGCTGATAGGAGAAGATAGCATCCATGAAAGACCAAATGAAATGCAAATGCCTCAACCTTTGGATGTTATATATGCTTATGCAGTAGTAAAAAAAAAACAATACAAGTGCTTCAAGCTAAATGCAAATATTATTATGTTTTTGGAAGTAAGAAACTTTTTGCCTCATGGTTTGCAATAGATAAGCAGTTTGCACAAGAAAATAATGCACATGCTGACGTGGGAATGGCTTGTGCAAGGTATAAGATTGTTTAATTGGACATGGAACATGTATGGCGTGTAAAGAAAAATGCAGTTAATTACAAGAGTAAAGTTTTCAAAACTGTCCTTTCTGCAACAGCCCACCACGGCACCACCACTACCATAGGGACATATTGCCAAATTGTCTGGCTGTAGCCACCAAACACAACTAGATCAATCAAGATTTTTTTTTAAAAGGTTCAAGGTGCTTCTAGTGCTGCCTACGAATGCTATGACCCAATCTGGCTCACATGCCATGTGAAGTGTTCACCCAACTTTGTTTCGGTCACCCAAAACAAAAGAAAAGTAGATTAGCCATAACTTTTGAGCCCTGCATTATTAGTATCCTATTATTCACATGGATAGTGACGCTAATGCATTCAGCTAGAAAAAAAGGATTAGCAATAATAAGTTAGTAACTAGAACATGGTCTGATAAACTTAGGATGTAACTCAAACAGAAAAGGTGAAAAAGCTATTTCTATCTGATGTAAAAAATAGAACTCCCATAGTTCTTTAATCAGAGGAAAGATATTTTCAAACAATGAACTTTTGTGGTTTACTCCCCAAAACCAGAAGATTCCCTACGCTAAATCAAATCAAAAGTAGCATAAACTTGCAAATTAACAATTTTACCCTACAATAAACTAGCGACAAGGACACCTCATGATAGTCTAGCTGGTGTCACGATTGCCAGAAAGAGCAAATGTACTGGGAAATAAGTTATTGGGCATATATGTATTAGTTAACTGACAGCTTTTTTTTTGGGCTATATATACGTAACTAATTTTTATACAAATTGAAAGGTTCATCATCATCAATTCAACCCTCCACCACTGGCATGTGATGGGGCTACATCTGTAAATTTTCTATTGAAACACTATACTTTGCCAATATATAGTTACCAAATGAAATACTAACTTCTTTTTTTTCTCAAAATTAATGGTGCCCAGAAGAAGGCCAGGTGAATTCGCCTCATGTTCATTCATCGGAGTTAAGATTCAGATTTTTTTTTTCCAATCATGAGGTGTACCCTCTCAGATTTGGAGAGAGGGGTTAAATTTAGTTTTTTTTTTCTCTGGTTTTTGAGAGAAGAAAAACTCCCATCTTGGAGCGGAGTAAAATTGCCCAAACTTTGGGTGGCAACATCTCTTACTATCGTTTTAGAACAGCGCCCTTTCTTTGAATCTTTTCCTGTTGGGAAACATAGAAAAAAAAACACGCGGAAAGTCTCATCAGATCTCTGTGGTTTCCAAATGAAAATCTCTACCCGGTCGCCCGGAAAGAAATTTATCAGCACACAAGAGAGAAGTAAAGAAACCAACGTGTCTTTTCTCTTTAAGACATCCTAACTGCAAAAGCAAAAGCTAGACAAGGGAAAAATTTTGAAGAGAATTCAAGCAACATTAAGCTGATGGATGGATTTGAATTGAAATGAGCAAGATAAGATAACAAGATGGGGGCGAGAGAGAATCGTACCATATCGGGCCTGAGGAAGACGGTCTTGCCGAGCACGATGACGGATCCGGACTCGTCGAGCGCGCGCGCGACGGAGGGCCCCGCGTCCGGGCCGGCGGCGTCGCAGCAGAGGCGCAGGAAGTCGGCGTACGGCACGGCGCCGGCGCCGGACGCCCGAATCCGCGCGCGCGCCGCCTCCATCTGCGTGGCGCGCAGCACCTTGCGCGCCTCCTCCACCGTGAGACTCGCCGCCGCGGGCAGCGCCGCGTCCGTCGGCTCCCGCCTGGCCGGCCCCGGAGCCGGCGCGGCGGGCGGGACGAGGCCGTCGAGGTTGATCCGCGGGAACGCGAAGCCGACCCCGAGGTCCCGGATCCGGTCAGCGCCCAGGGGCATGAAGCCGCGGTCGGGCGGCACGGCGGGGCGGAACGCCGGCTGCTCCTGCAGGAACCGCCGGAGCACAAACGTCGACGACGACGACGCGAAGCGCTGCGCCACGGCTCTCCTCAGCACGGCCGCCATTGCTGCTGCTTAATGGGCCGGCACCAAGCTACTCCGATTCGACGGGATATGGATGGAAGAATGAACGGGCTGTAATGTAATCAATCAATGGAGGTGGGGGGTTGCAGGCTATTTATACCGCCCACGCCACGATGACAAGGACGCGACAGACGATAGCAGCCGTTTGCCCCGCTTGGGCGTTGTTGGGTCCAGCTCGCGTTCCTATTCCTACTTCCAACACGGGTCTCAGCGGATCAGCACGGGTAATTCGGCGTCCTGCATTCCTGTCCTTTGGGAGCCAGCTCAATTTACCAATCGTTTTGGTCATTAATCCACAAATTAAAAGGCACACTTAATGCGCCTCAGGAAAACATATTTCATCATAATCAACTCAATCAGTAGAACCTAATGTTTTCATATACTTATATATTTTTAAATTTTCTTTGTGGATATATTTTCTTTACTACGCCTATGATACCTTTTTTCAAAAATGTTTTCTTTGCAAACAGTTCAATTTCTATGTGGATTTCTCGTAAAATTAAAGGCTACTCGTACTCTTCGATTCGAAGCGTTTTAAGTATTTCATATTTATTAAAAACCGAGCTAAAAATTGTTAGGCGAATAAAGAAAATACGGAGTAAAACTATCGAGCTCACTGCGTGTTAGAACAATCTAGAAACGTGTATGGCGAGCGCGTGTGTTTGGTCGGAGTACGAGATGTAGGAGTGCGTTTTGGCCAGAGGTACTTCGTAGTTTGTTCCGTGTTGCAAAATGAAAATCTCTCGCGGACGTCCAGCTCATGAGGTCATCGTCGTGCAAACGAGTGAACGACTCGCTCCCAGTCTCCCACGTACTACTCCTACGTTACTGTCGAACGGAACGGCGAACGCTCTGCTCACACGTCTACTTGGAGCCCAGCCCAGCCGAGCCCAGCCCATGATAAAATCGTGCGAGGCGTGGCAAAACAAAAGTGTGTCAATTGCGTACGTCATATATAGCACACGATAAGATGCGTATGGGGTCGTATACAAGTTTTACATTTTAAATTTGCGTCTCCACGCAAAAGGTATGGATAATTGGATCGGATCACCAACACGAATTGAGATGTGAACGAAGTCCCTTTGCGATAAAATAAGATGCTCTTTTTTATATAAATGGTTGACGTAAAAGAGAACCCTAGCCACACACAAGAAACTTCGTGGCTCCATGATTATTGAGTGGCTTGGTTGAAGCATGTAAGCAACATTGTCCAGCTATGATAAGCACGGATTAAAGGACACGGATCAAAGAGACAGTATACAGCGATTATGGCACCCACTGTGATTAAAGCCCTATTTGGATCCACTAGCAGCTAAGAGCATCTCCAAATGTTCCAAAAAGAAGTTCTTCAAACCAATGAGTTTCTTGTATTATTGCCAAAAAAAAGGTGAAAGCATATTTGTTGGCTTCCTTCGTTTTCATAATCTCACTCCCAAAATATAAAAAATCAGTCTCACGTGAACATCCTACGCTCGTATCATCGTTCAATAAGCTTGATGACTAACGACGTAGTATTGATGAAAACATAATGAAATGCAAGTACGCGTCTAGTAAAATCTAAAATTTCATTAAATGTGTCATACTCTCTACTTCTCAAATGATAAGTCATTCTCACTTTTTTAGAGAGTCAAAGCATCTCAAGTTTGACCAAACTTATATAATAAAATAATAACATTTATGATACCAAATAAATATCATTAAATTCTTTATTAATTATGTTTTCATAATATATCTATTTAATATCATAATATTTGTAATTCTCTACATAATTTTGGTCAAACTTGAGACAAGTTAGATGAATTAAAATATTTTATTCTAATTGTATGATTTGTTATGTATATAAGACATCAATAATATGGCTAGAGTTTTGTCATCATATATAGACTATTAAAATATATATACTAAGTAAAAAATTATGGTTGTCCTGGGGGCATTGGCCCCTCCCCTGGCTCCGCCCTTGGTGGCAGAGAAGGTCGGCTTTCACGGCCGGCAACTTCTTTTGACGCTAATAACTCCTACATAAAATTAGCTAGTTAACAATTAGCTAGGTTGGTCTAACAATTAGCACCGTTGCGCGACGGTGGAGGTAACACGTGCGGCGTCGGTCCGATAGCCAGCGGTGTCTCTAGGAGGAGCGGAAGCTAAGAGATCTTAACCCTTCAGATACCATATTGGAGGATTAACTCAACTCTATTTCCATTAATCATAAGTGGGTTTATATAGAGATTACATGGGGATACAAAGAGATAGGAAAACTGAAAATAAAGAGACTACAACTCTTAATATTCTAACATATAGAAATTTAGGAAGGGGTATAGATGGCATCGTCGTGCAAGAGTTTAGTTAATATAGTACAACACTAGTCTTGAATATATAACATGTCGGATCCACGTTAACACTGAGTTAGCATATGCCACGTCAAGGATTGAGCGGGTCAAACCCATTTAGACTAGTGTTGAAACCCGACACAAGTTTAGAGACCCAAAAGTCCAAAAATAAAAGTTTAGAATCTAGATCGCGTCATCTTCCAAGTTTTAAAACCGTTCATACATTTTTACCCTAATTTGTTTTTGTTTGGGGTTGACATGGTATGTTTTACCTCATTTTTCTTGAAAATGAGGCCGTTGATATGTGGTTTGTGCCCTGATTGACAAATGCAAGTTTTAGTTGGTGATG